CGTGGGATGCCCCCAGACCGGGGCACGAACCCGCGTCCCCTGCATCGGCAGGCGGACTCTCAACCACTGCGCCACCAGGGAAGCCCCGACTTAACTCTAGGGACCTTGCTAAACTTTTATTAATCCTACCAATTTACATGTAGATTATGTGGTGTTCTCTAAACAGAAAACCACCTGCAAATAAGACTTCAGTTTTCTCCCTTCAAACCCTACCCTTTGATCACTTTATCTGCTGTCTTGGACACACAGCACAATGCTCAAGAGAAGCACGAGGTAGGCTTTGCTATCTTGAGCCACATGTAAAAAAATAATTCTGGAATTTCACAAACTATACTTCAACAAGTGAAGAAAACTCATTCCTAATTGCTAAGAATTTATCAAAAATGTTTCTGGAATGTTTTAATGCTTTGCTTCCACCTTCTGAGATAAAGAGGATTATTCTCCTAAACGTACTGAGCTGCATCTATAAGGTTTGAAAGTATCAAACCCCCGCTGTCATGACTCACGCAGTCACATACACAGAATGTCTGTATTGTACCTCATCTGATTCTGGTACCAAGGTCACAACAGCTACATGAAACCAGGGAGGGAAGCTTTCTCTCTTCCTGGTCTCTGAGTTTATGTAAGACGGGAACTGTCCCATGCTTCACAACTTGCATGTATAGCCGTCTGAGCATGGTAGGGATTTTGGATATCTTTTCTATTTTAATTAAGTAATTAGCTTTTGGTGGGGGGATGGAGTTTTAGGTACTGATTCAAATTATTTAATGAGTAGTCTTAAAACTACTTGGGTTTTTTCTTCTTCTTGAAGAAACAGGTTTTTTCCCTAGAAGTTCGTCCAATTTGCTTTAAAATTGTTAACATAAAATTGTCATAGCTTTCTACTGCCCTTTAAAGCTCTACTGATCCACACTTATACCTGCTTTATCACTGCCAATTCTCCAACTGATCTTTCCAAAAGTTTGCCTATTTTATTAGTATTTTCAACGAATCACATTTTGTATTTCTTAATCCTCTAAAACGAATGTTTAATTCCTACTTCATTAACTTCTACTCATATCTTTGTTACTTCCTCCCTCCTTTTCTTTGGGTTTATTCTGTTCTTTCACTAACACACTGGAAACAAACTAATTCAGTCTCTCCTCTAATATAAACTTAGGGCTAGGAACTTCCCTCTAAGCACTGCTTTTGCTTCATTCCACAAGGATTAATATGTAGTTCAACATAATATGTTGCTTTTGAAAAAATGGATTATAGGATCTCATTTGTTAATGTCCTGCTTTGGAAAAATAAGTTGGATCCATACTTCACACTTTACACCAAAAAAAGCAGCAAATCGACTTAAGATTAAAATGTCAAATATGAAACCATCAAAGTTTTAGGGAACTTCCCTGGCGGTCCAGAGGTTAGGACTCCGTGCTACCACTGCAGGGAGGACGGGTTCAATCCCTGGTTGGGGAACTAAGATCCGACATGCCGCGTAGTGCGGCCAAAAAAAAAAAAGTTCTGAAAGAAAACATGGGAGAATTCCATTGTAACTTGTAGTGGAAAGTCCATTCTCACTATAACAAAATGAAAAGCCATTAGAAAAGATTGATAAATTTGACTAATTTTTTTTTTTTTTTTTTAAATCTCAGGATGGCAGGAAGACAACCATGAGCAAATTCGAGAAAATGACAGATGGGGGAAAATTATTTGCAAGTCATGTCATAAGGTGCTAATTTCCTTATCACATAAAAGATTCCTAGGTATCAATAATAAGTTCAACAGCAAGTGTGCTGGTAAATGTTTAGCAATTAGAGGGGAACTGTGGGGGGTGGGTGGTTGGGGGAGTGTTCTGCTGACTTGTGGTGCTTTGCAATTCCCTGGTGTAAATATTCCCACCGTGGCCTATTTGAGACCATTGATATAATGTAAACCAGCTTATAAAATTCCTGAAAATCTAACAACTGGAATCTGATGAACTGGTTCAAGCCAGCTTCAACACACCACTGTCACATCCCAATGAAGAATGGTCAAAGGCTAGGAATAGATATTTAACCGAAATAGAATTGGCCCCTAAATGTAGGAAACAGTGTTCAGCCCCCTAGTAAGAAAAAAATATTAAAATGACATTAAGAATGCTATTTATCACCAACAAGATTGGCAAAAATCTTAAAAATTTGCTAACATTCTGGCATGTAGGCAAACAGGCACTCTCATTCATTCTTTGTGGGAGTTAAAATTAATACAGTCCCTATAGAGGGTTATTTGGCACTATCTATCACAATTACAAATGCATGCA